ATGAGATACCACCTCACACCCGTCAGAATGGCTAAAATTAACAAGTCAGGAAACGACAGATGTTGGCGGGGATGCGGAGAAAGGGGAACCCTCCTACACTGTTGGTGGGAATGCAAGCTGGTGCAGCCACTCTGGCGAACAGTGTGGAGGTTCCTCAAAAAGTTGAAAATAGAGCTACCATACGATCCAGCAATTACACTACTGGGTATTTACCACAAAGATACAAATGTAGGGATCCGAAGGGGTGCACCCCAATGTTTATAGCAGCAATGTCCACAATCACCAAACTGTGGAAAGAGCCAAGATGTCCATCGACAGATGAACGGATAAGGAAGATGAGGTATATATACACAATGGAATATTATGCAGCCATCAAAAGGAATGAGATCTTGCCATTTGCAATGACGTGGATGGAACTGGAGGGTGTTATGCTGAGTGAAATAAGTCAATCAGAGAAAGACATGTATCATATGTCTTTATGGGGATATGAGGAATTCTTAATCTCAGGAAACAAACTGAGGGTTGCTGGAGTGGTGGGCGGTGGGAGGGATGGGGTGGCTGGGTGATGGACTCTGGGGAGGGTATGTGCTATGGTGAGCGCTGTGAATTGTGCAAGACTGTTGAATCACAGACCTGTACCTCTGAAACAAATAATGCAATATATGTTAAGAAAAAAAAGAAGAAAAAGAAGATAGCAGGAGGGGAAGAATGAAGGGGAGTAAGTCGGAGGGGGAGACGAACCATGAGAGACGATGGACTCTGAAAAACAAACTGAGGGTTCTAGAGGGGAGGGGGGTGGGGATATGTGTTAGCCTGGTCATGGGTATTAAAGAGGGCACATTCTGCGTGGAGCACTGGGTGTTATGCACAAACAATGAATCATGGAACACTACATCAAAAACTAATGATGTAATGTATGGTGATTAACATAACAATAAAAAATTAAGGAAATATAAGTAGGAAACTCTATCCCAGAGCTGTTATGGCCCTCACCTCGGTCACATGACCAGTGATGTGACCTAAGGTCTATAGCCTCATATCTCCAAGAAGTCCCTCTCTGCCACAGCAAGTGGGAGCTCAGCAAATATCTGTTGTATAGAATGGATTATATAGGATTTTTTTTACTGAAGAGGTGTGGGTGGGCCCGGCACCCTGGCTGTGGCAGAGACACTGAGGAAGCCATGACCTCCCTCATGTTCATGGCAGCCCTGGGGGCCAGAGCAGCTCTGAATTGGGAGGGGGGGACTGAGTTCAGAAATGTCCAGCCTCCCTTTCATCTGCCCCCTGAGGTCCAACTCCTGCCTCACCGATGAATCCAACCAGGGGCAGGCGGCAGCCGGTGGTGTCCCCACGAGGGTCGACCTCAGACCCAGAGCAGGACATGGAGGGAGCGGGGACTGACCACTACAAATACTTCCTGCAGACAGGAAAAACAGTCCTTATCTTGATCGGGCTCCACGAAAGCACGATGCTTATTTTGTGTTTCTTGCCAGGTTACTGAGGATATTATTGCAAGCCAAGAAGAAGAGGAGAAAAACAAAAAGAAGAAAAAGAAGGAGGCCAAGAAACCCAAGAAACCTAAAAAAGAAAAGGAAAAGAAAGGTGCAAAAGAAAAAAACAAGGTAAGGAATTTGGTATTTTAAAAGAAATTTTCTTTTAAGTGGCTTCTTTGCTTTGAATCGGTGGCATGATCCCAACTCTCCTGAGATCGCACTCATTTGTTTCCTAGGAAACCGTTCTACCAGCTGTTTTTCAATATTTTTTTATGTTGCTCGATCACCGGTCATCATCCTCTCTATGACTTATAATAAAGACCTCTTAAGATAAAGGTGGTTTTAGTGACTTCGGTACTTTATGTGTTATTCACATATGTGATAGCTTTGACTTTTTATTCCTCAAAATAAATGATCTCCCTCGTCTTTCCTCAAGGTAGAGACCCGGTGACCACTGCAAAGTCAAAATAATAACTACTTTAACCAAAGTGAGTTTGTTCAAATTTTTCACTTCACGTTGACATATTGGGTATATATTATTTCTTACTACCCAAAGGAAATCAGAATTCAGATAGTGTTACTTTGGGCCAGGCCCCCCCTCGTGCAGCGGGGGAGGAGGTGCAGCTTATCCTAGGGCAGTAACTGGAGGGGTCTTCACCTTCGAGCATGTGGAGAGGTGCCCTCCCAGGACAGCATTCTCTCAGCAGGAACTCCATCTATGGGAGATGGAGCTCGGGCTGGAAGCTGGAATCATCCTAAAGCATGATTATGTTTAAAGAAGCAGGTCTGCACAGACAGATCCTCCTTCACAGCTGACCAAAACTCTCTTCTGAATTGACTCAGGAGAATGGATCCTTAAGGGTTCTGGTCCATCTGTGACTCTGTCCAGAGACAGAGATCCAGGTCTTGCTCAGGCAGCAGTGGTCACATTCGTCATGTTCCAGGAGGTGGGTTAGGGAGAGAAATGGGACAGGCTGCATCATCAAGGACAAGTGATTGGACCAAGGAGTCAGAAATTGTGAGCAGGGGAGAAAGGAGGATGGTGGATATACAATGACAGTACCCAAACTCCTGAACTCTCTCCAAAACTCTCAGTTTTTCCCCCTTGAGAATGATATTTGCTGTGGGTTTTTCATAGACGGCTTTTATGACATTGAGGTATGTACCTTCTATCCCTACACTGTGAAGAGTTTTAATCAAGAAAGGATGCTGTATTTTGTCAAATGCTTTTTTCTGCATTGAGAGGATCATATGGTTCTTGTCCTTTCTTTTATTAATGGGATGTATCACATTGATTGGTCTGTGAATGTTGAACCCTCCTTGTAGCCCAGGAATAAATCCTACTTGGTCATGATGAGTAATCCCTCTAATGTACTGTTGGATCCTGTTGGCCAGTATCTTGGTGAGAATTTTGGCATCCAAGTTTATCAGGGATATTGGTCTGTAATTCTCCTTTTTGGTGGGGTCTTTGTCTGGTTTTGGGATCAAGGTAATGCTGGCCTCATAGAACTAGTTTGGAAGTTTTCCTTCCATTTCTACTTTTTGAAATAGCTTCAGAAGAACAGGTATTAGTTCTTCTTTAAATGTTTGGTAGAATTCCCCTGGGAAGCCATCCAGCCCTGGACTCTTCTCGTTTGTTGATTACTGCTTCAATTTCCTTGCTGGTTATGGGTCTATTCAGGTTTTCTATTTCTTCCTGTTTCAGTTTTGGTAGTTTACAAGTTTCTAGGAATGCATCCATTTCTTCTAGATTGCCTAATTTGTTGGCATATATTTGCTCATAATATGTTCTTAAAATTGTTTGTATTTCCATGGTGTTGGTTGTGATTTCTCCTCTGTCATTCATGATTTTAATAATTTGGGTCCTTTCTCTTTTGTTTTTGGTAAGTCTGGCTGGAGGTTTATTGATTTTGTTAATTCAAAGAACCAGCTTCTAGTCTCATTGATCTGTTCTACTGTTCTACTGTTCTTTAGGTTTCTATTTCATTGATTTCTGCTCTAATCTTTATATTTCTCTTCTTCCGCTCAGTTTAGACTTTATTTGCTGTTCTTTCTCCAGCTCCTTTAGGTGTAAGGTTAGCTTGTGTATTTGAGATTTTTCTAATTTTTTGAGAAAGGCTTGTATTGCTATGTACTTCCCTCTTAGGGCCGCCTTTGCTGCATCCCAACAGTTTTGAACAGTTGTGTTTTCATTTTCATTTGTTTCCAAGAATTTTTTAATTCTTCTTTAATTTCCTGGTTGATCCATTCATTCTTTAGTAGGATGCTCTTTATCTTCCAAGTATTTGAGTTCCTTCCAAATTTCCCCTTGTGATTGAGTTCAAGTTTCAAAGCATTGTGGTCTAAAAATATGCAGGGAATAATCTCAGTCTTTTGGTACTGGCTGAGACCTAATTTGTGACCCAGTATGTGACCTATTCTGGAGAATGTTCCATGTGCACTCAAGAAGAATGTGTATTCTGTTGCTTTAGGATGGAATGCCCTCATATATATCTATGAAGTCCATCTGGTCCAGTGTGTCATTCAAAGCCCTTGTTTTCTTGTTGATCTTCTGCTTAGATGATCTATCCATTGCTGTGAGTGAGGTGTTAAAGTCCCCTATTATTATTGTATTATGATCAATATGTTTCTTTAATTTTGTTATTTATTGGTTTATATATTTGGCTGCTTCCAAGTTTGGAGCATAAATATTTATAATTGTTAGATCTTGTTGGATAGACCCTTTAAGTATGATATAGTGTCTCCATTCCTTACTAAAGTCTTTGGTTTAAAATCTAATTTTCTGATATAAGGATTGTTACCCCAGCTTTCTTTTGATGTCCATTAACATGATAAATGGTTCTCCACCCCCTCACTTTCAATCTGGAGGTGTCTTTGGGTCTAAAATGAGTCGCTTGTCCATCGATAGACAAATGGATACAGAAGATGTGGTATATATATACAATGAACTATTACCTCAGCCATCAGAAAGGATGAATACTTACCATTTACATCGATGTGGATGGAACTAGAGGGTATTATGCTAAGCGAAATAAGTCAATTAGAGAAAGACGATTATCATATGGTTTCACTTATATATGGAATATAAGAAACAGCACAGAGGATCATAGAGGAAGGGAGGGAAAACTGAAAGGGAAATCAACAGAGAAGGAGAAAAACCATGAGAGACTCTTAACTCTAGGAAACAAACTGAGGATTGCTGGAGGGGAGGTCGGTGGGGGAATGGGGTCCCTGGGTGATGGACATTAAGGAGGGCACGTGATGTGATGAGCACTGGGTGTTATATACAAATGATGAACTATTGAACTCTATATCTGAAACATGATATACTATAGGTTGGCTAATTGAATTTAAATTTAAAAAAATACCCAAATTCCACATAAATGCAACATTTTGTATTTATGAAAGCCAACATTTTGTGATGAAAGCCAACATTTTGTTAAAAATGCTTTGCATAATTGCAGTCACCCAGCTGGAGGCAATTGCCCCTTTTTCAAGGCTCATCTCCCACACAATGATCAGCAGAAGTCTTCCAACTGCTCCCCCCCATCCGTCTTTGTCCCTCTCCTTAACCATGTTCCATTGCTGTGAACAAAAGAAGAGAGACCTCTTCCTGCTCATTCTGGGCACAACCCATTCCACTGTAGTCCCCAGCTCAGTCCCCAGCTACCCGGTATGTTGTGTTGACCCCTCACCTAATTCCCCCCTAGGAATTATTCCAGGTCTAAATGAGCTGCTCCATGCAAAGTCCCACCGCCCACCCCAGGCAGCTGCATTCAGGGATAGCCATGTTCAGGTACAAAGACCCAGCTCCCTCACTGGGACATTTCTGAAGGGTTCTCCTAGCTCCTAGGCTCCCTGTGGTGTCAGCTGACAGCTCACATCTGATTGCATCACAGCTCAGTTACATTAGCTTCTCTGCCCAGTGCTGCTTCTCTTCCTCCGTCCCTGTGGGTGCTGTTCCCAGTAAACCACCTGCATGGCCTCCATCTAAATGTTTCCAGGAACCCAACCCACAAGGCCACCGGTTGCCCTACTGCTCTGCTTGCACCCCAAAACTTCTAACTTGTTGCTGAAAAAAATAAGAAGAGAGCTTACTTGATAATTAATTTTTAAAGCCCTCCTCTCATTCTGCAAGATAATTCTGAAGCCGTGCCTAAGAATAAGGACAATTGGAAGAATTTCAATTTTATTCTAAGCATTCTCCTCCTCTAAATATGCATTAGGGAGTTTGACACTTGCGAATTAAAAATTCACTGTTAATGAAGCTTGTTCCATAAAAAATCTGAAATTATCAGCTATACAATCTGGTCTTTATTGAGTGAAGGTATTTTATTAACTAGCTATTAAAGAGTCATTTAATGATGAATAGTTTGGGACAAAAAGTAAAGTTTGAGTACATCAGTACTTATGGAGTAGTTGCAAAGGAAGGGCAAAATCCTTCAAAGTTACTTAGAACTGAATTTTTTCGTGAAGAGTACAGGTCTACACAGTGACAACATGATCATAAATGGTACTCTCTATTGAAATTGATATATTTACATTATATCGCTACTCATCTTTGAGGTCAGATTGCCTTTTTAAAAAAGTCTTATTCTAGAATCAATCACAAGGTGTCTAGAAGCATTCATGAGACAAGCTATCAAATCTTTGTATGAGAATTGGTATTTTGACCTGTAGAAAAAGGCATCTATTATTCATCCTGGTTAACGGGTGAGGCAGGGGAGAGAAGAAACTAGTTTTGTTTAGCTTGCATAACTGACTCACCCCTAACGTTGTTTCACAGTGGCACAGCTCTGGGATTATCCTTCAGGTATTTTTATAAACTTGGTCATTTCTCGATTGCTAGTGCACATATAGTCAGAACACTTGGGAAAGGCCTCATATTAAAAACAAAAAACTGAGGATAATCTGAATATTTCCACTCACCTCCATAAATGGAAAATAGACTCTTGTCAAAATATCACAGGAGTACAAGCTTCGTCAGTCCACAAGATGGCTACAAATGAGCATAAGTGGCCACAGAGGGGCTGTTGACAGGGGTTTGGTGGTGGGTGGATCAGAAGGCTGGATGGGGACTAGGGACTCCAGGCAGGATTCCAGTCAATCGCTGAGCCCGAGAACCAGAGGACAACTTCAGAGCAGGGACAACAGACACCAGGGAAGGTGTCTGATGTGAGGCCTGGAAAGCTTGGAGCAGCCATGCATGGGGCAGAACCTTCTGGAGAAGACAAGAGTCATCCTGGGGGCAGTGACTTGAGCAGACCTGAGTGGTGTGAGTTGTAATCTAAGGTTTGTGGTTTGTGGTTTGTGGCGGTGGTTGGGATGGCCTGTGGGTGAGGAAGTGACTGAGACAGGGAGATACTTAGGTCCAGACTGGGAGCACCACGAGACGGGAAGAAGGGTCAGTGCAAGCCCAGGTCCCCCCCAAGGACAAGTGTGGGCCAGGAGTCAGAGCCCCTCAGAAGTTTGCATCCATCCACCCAGGAGGATACATTTAAAGCCAAAAGTCATTCACAGGGTCGAGATCGGAGCAAGTGAGTTCTGTTTACCTGGTTGATTTTTGTGTGAAAATAACGAAGAAGAGAAGGTACATCCAGCTGGTGGTACGAAGATCTGGGCTCATAGTCAGCAGTACAGTAACACCCTTCCCAAGCTCACAAAGACCCACAGTCACCTTTTTATGACTGCTTCCCTTCCCACCTCAACCCCTTCCTGGGGTACCTCCATCTGCATAAATGTGTCTCAGAGTGACGTGCCCAAAACATCTCTCCCTTGACCCTAGTGCCGCAGGAGAGGGCTCCCCTTAGACACTCTGTTATTCTGGACTCTGAGGATTAATGAGTGTCTCTGTAGAATCTTTTTTTTTTTTTTTTTGTAGAGTCTTAAGACTTTTGAACCTGGAGGTAACTGGAAGGAAGTTTAAGAGTGAGAATTTGTGGGTTTCAGTGTCCCTGCTTGGATTTCCAATTTACTGTGAGGCGGGTGGCATGAGAAAAGAGAGGGTCTCTGTAATTGTGCACAGCAACATTGTACAGTAAAATAACTGTGGGGGCGCCTGGGTGGCTCAGTCAGTGGGGCATCTGACTCTTGGTTTCAGCTCAGGTCATGATCTCAAGGTCGTAAGATCGAGCCCCACGTCGGGCTCTGCACTCAGCAGGAAGTCTGCTTAAGATTCCCTCTCTCCCTCCCCCTCTGTCCCCCTGCCCCCCCACCCCACTGGAATGTGTGTGCTCTCTCTTTAAAAAAAATTAAAATAAAATAAAATAACTGTGGCTGGTAATCTTACATTCATTTGATCATTTCATCAAAAAACTTTGCAAACAATTCAACGTTGGAAGCATGAAAGTTTTCAGTTTGGTATCTGGACCCATCCAGAGATCCCCTATACTGAGATGCTGAAGGACAGAAGCAAAGAGATTGGTCTAGGGGTTTTCACCTTTACCAGAGCCAGTAAAGGGAAAACATAAAAGCCCCTAAACAGCTTCAAAGATGGGCTTCCAAGAATTAATCTTTTCATCGCCTAGACAAGAAAAGGAACGTCTGTCTTGTACCTTATACAAAAATGAACTCAACGTGGATCATGGACTCACATGTAAAACTGTAAAACCTTTAGGTAAAAAGAGGGGAAAAAATCTTCGGGATCTAGGGCTCTGCACACAGTTCTTAGAGTTGACACCAAAAGTATCCATAGAAGGAAAGATTGATAAATTGGACTTCATCACAGTAAAAAACTTTTACTCTGGGAAGAGGATGAAAAGACAAGAAAATGTTTGCAAGCTATATAGATCTAGCTAAGGAAGTGCCTCTAGAATATATAAAGAATTTTCAAAATTCAACAGTAAAATAATTCTTTCTTTTGGATCTTTGGTTTGCAAACCATCTCTAAAAGTGTTAAGGATCGGAGGTAAGGCGATCCCTGTTACGAATAAGTGATAGAGGGGAATGCTAGTGTCAGAGGGACATCCTCTGCAAACCAATAGCCATCTTTGCAAATATGTTTCAGTATCGAAGTTACACCATTTACCTGACAGGTCGGCTGTGTGGATGTCACGGTGGCTTTAGGAGCCAGAAAAGGAGCACTAGAAATCCATCCTTACAACTCTTTCCTCTTTGTTACTTTTCAATCCATATGTTAAACCATTTGGAACTATTTTAAATGGATTTTACCGGTCCGGAACACACGATCATGTGACTACTACAGAGTCTTCTCTACATTCACCAAACTTTGTGCTAAATCCTGGGAAAAGCCTGGCACCCACACACAGCATCATTAGCTTTTAAAAGCTTCTGTTTGTCTGTGAGGCCACCCAGCCTTTTTGTGACCCGAGCACCCCTTCTCCAACCACCTGGCACAAGGAGGTGCTCCATACTCAACCATTGAGCCGACCACGTTCTTATATTATTTTAGAGGATTTCAAACGAAATTCTGTACTACTTCACAAAGATGGAGATGTGAGTGTTGTGAATTCCCGGAGGCTGTTATCAGGAATAAGGATGTCATCGTGGAAACGTCCATATTGAGCATAACCTGTGTTCACTGAAGGGCAGCGAGAGAGGAAGATATCAGGAAGTGAGAAGCTGCTGAGCTCCAGAGGAGACAGGTGCCCTTAACCTCAAGGAACAGAGACCCCAAGGATAGACTCCCTGAAACTGTATGTAAATGTTTACATGAAAATGCATTCCTCTAAGAAGGTGTGTGAGTTTTCTTCACGTTTCCTTCTACCTCAACCACTCAAAAACCACCACTTCCAGAAAGGAACAGTGGTCTAAATCCCCAAAAGGCATGAATAACTTTGATTCTTAATCTCAATGGAACTGAGAGAAAAGTGTGGGCAGAAAAGTAAAGTGACATTCTAAATGCAAATTTGAAAACAGTTAAGGGATGCTTAATATTTTTTTGCAATGAGCTATCACATTATTTTGGTGCATTTTTTTTTTAAAATATGGTCAATAGTAATGAGAGCTCCTGGGTTGATTTTCACTTCTAGATCTAGAATTGGAGTATAATTTCACTCCTGGTTGAGTGGGAAATAATCAGCCTCTTCCAAATCACAGTAACCCCACCCACAACCTGGAGGACACAGACCCTAAGGGAACAATCAGATTATCTGAAAGCCACTGAGTGACCAATCTGACATTTGAGCCTATATGTTCAGAGGTATTTGCCAAATGCCCGCACTTTAAAAATGTAACAGAGGTGGCCCTATTTGCACTTTGCCACGTGCCCATTCATGTGAAGGATCCCCAGTTGTCCTGCACTGGGATTCTCGGACTCTCACTGACCAGGCTTTGGGATTCCCCCCTCATTACGTCACACTCCCTTCCCCATGTCTGCTGGACCAGAGAAGCAGGTGCCAGGAAGTAGAAGCAAATCCTACACAGTGCGGAGAGAATCTTTTTCATCGAGAAGAATCCAGAACAGCTTCACAGAAGAGGACACACTCGCCTCAGACCAAAGAGCAATTTTCCACAAAAGAAGATGGGACAATGGAATTCTAATGAGAAAGAAGATGGCCATCTCTGCCTCCCCTCCAGCCTTTCCTCACTTTGCAGCCAGCCTGATGTCCCTACAAGCGGCTGGTGGAAGGTGGGAAGACTCAGGCTGGGAATCAGCTTTCAGAGCAAAGAAGGAGCCAGAACATCAGACAACAGGACCAAACTCATGGCGTGGGGTACCCTGGGAGAGGTGACTGACACAGGGGAACCTCAGTGAGCCTGCAGGCGGAGCTGAGTTTCTAGAACCATCCATGCCCTGGTTGGTGGACGCAACATGCCCTGCTCAGACTGGCCAGCAGAGAAACTGCCCAGGTGGGTGGGCAAGGGGTCGGACCTTCGCTCATAAACCAAGAAAGAGCCTGTGTGCCTTACCTTAGTCCAGTCATCAGGATGTGTGTGCCTTGTACTGTCTAGTCCGGACAAAGTAGCCCTGTAATTAACAGAAGTATCATTCTTCTTTAACAGGAAGAAGATGACGGCTGGAAAATGTCACCAAGTGTTTTCCTTCCCACGATGGAGGAAGGAAATAACGTGTACAAAGGTTGGTTTAGGAGAATATGCAGGGCAACTGGGAGTTACCCGGTCCACCCAGCATGACCCCTGGCCCTAGCACCCAGCGTGTGTGGGGAAGAATTAGGCGCTCAGTCGGGAGAGGCTGAAATCATGCGGCTCATAGCCTGGACTTTCTGTCCGTCTCTATTTTAAAATTCCTTGTCGCCTAAAGGCATAGGATCGGTAAAAAGAGCCAGGTATGAATAGTACGAGAACACAATCGAAACCTCCATTCTGTTTTCGAACCCATAGGACTTCAGCTGAGCATTCTCTTGCTGGGAATGAAAGGGATTGTCCTGGATTGTTTAAATTAATAAAATCAATACCAGATGTACAATAAAATGTTTCAATCCTGTCAGACCAAGACAGGTGCCCGCAGACGGACACATAATTCTTTTGTCCATTGTTCAGCATAATTAACATAGTAGCTAGAACCTGAGGGGAGCTGCAAGTGTAGGAATTGGTCTTTCTGACATTCCTATTACAATTTACTGGAACAATTATCCAGCCCCTTTGGCTCCACTCCACCCTCAGGATGAATCCCAACACAGGATGACCTGCCACGATGACCCCGCTCATTGGTGCTTTTTGGTAATTCCTAGAAACTGCAACAAGGATGTCAAGTAGAATATTTCCAAACGTCAGTCATGCATGTGTTTTCTCCCTAATTCTGGTCTTATCTGGACAGCACTGGTACTATTAATTACTTAACATATTTTTTCACTGACTCATGGTTTTTACCCCCAATAAACTGAGCCTCATCCTCAGCAGCAATATCAACATTTTAGGTTTGAGATGCTCGTTGTATAAAATAAAAATGTCCGTGCACCACCTGAACTTCTTTCACTTTCCACTAGTGGTGAGGGTCCCACCGTGCACATGATGCTGAACGAGGGGGGAGGCATAGGGGACAGGGGACATCAGCGGGATTTGGCAGCTGTTTTAACTGGGGAGGAAGGAAGTCAAAGCAGTAACTTCACGTTATTAGACACCCAAGGCACGCAAGCCTTTGCGTTTTCCATGTTCATCTCATTTGATCTTCAGAACAACCGAGAGAAGTAACACAACTGTCCCCTTATCAGCAGGGACTATTAGAACACATGCTGCCACTCAAGTTTGAGAAGTCAAATCAGTTTTTTTTAACATTTTATTTAAATTCAAGTTAGTTAGCATATAGTGTATTATTAATTTCAGGAATAGAGGTCAAAACTGATTCATCAGTTTTGTATAACACCCAGCGCTCATTCCATCATGTGCCCTCCTTCATGTCCATCACCCAGTGACCCCAACCCCCTCACCCACCTCCCCTCCAGCAACCCTCAGTTTATTTCCTAGGGTTAAGAGGCTCTTATGGTTTGCCTCCCTCTCTGGTTTCATCTTATTCTGTTTTCCTTTCCCTTCCCCTATGATCCTCTGTTTTCTTTCTTAAATTCCACATATGAGTGAGATCATATGGTATTTGTCTTTCTCTGACTGACTTATTTCACTCAGCATAATACCCTCTAGTTCCATCCACGTCATTGCAAATGGCAAGATCTCCTTCTTTTTGATGGTGGAATAATATTCCATTGTGTAGATACACCACATCTTCTTTACCCATTCATCTGTCGATGGAATCTGGGCTCTTTCCACAGCTTGGCTATTGTGGACATCGCTGCTATAAACATTGGGGTGCAGGTGCCCTCAAATCACTACAAACCACAGTGCAGAGCAATCGCTATCAGACACATTCACTCACTTACATATTCATTCAACAACCACTGTGTCCAATGTGCAAGGCTACCGTGAAGACACAAAGATGGCACGTACCATCAACCTACAACATACTGGGTGTGGTAGAGGTGGATGAGGTGGGGACAGGGGCACAAGTTGAGTGGCTTGTGCGAATTAGGCTGGCAGCAACAATATCCAAGGCCCAGCTAGGAACGGCACGCATCCCCAGGCAGGGTCACTGGCGTGCAGTGGATGCCTCCGGAACTCAGGTGTGTCCGCAACAGGAGATGCCCTTATTCACATGCCACTTTGTGCCACATTTCTTTTGCTCTTTACAGCCACCCTCATATTCATATTCTACACATCCGTCACCAACCTCCAAGGTCATTGTTTGCACCTTCGAACACATCAGGTCATTGGCCAATTCGTGTTCTGCTGAGGTCCTCCCTCGGGCAACAGTTTTCCTCAGCATGGTGGAAGGCCTGGCTGCCTTCTCCTCGGAAATAACTATCAGGAGAGAATAAGGGGAGAGACAGGTCGGTGAGAGACAGCCAAGCCCGCCTCTGCCATAACAGGGAGTCAGGGGCTCCTGTCTCAAACTCATAAATCAAGAAGTAGCAGAGTGACCACATGACAAGTGTACGACAACAGAGACACAGATCCAAGAGCTCTCAGGAAGCTAGACCGCCTCACACCCGCCTCACTCCCGCCTCACACCTGCCTCTCGTGGGCTCTGTGCTCTTCCGCCAGCGAGCCAGTCACTCCCACCTCAGGGACCTGGTGTTGTCCGTTCCCCTTGTCTGCAGTGCTGGTCCCTGCAGGCCTTCCCCGAGACCTTTGTGGGGTAACAGTCTCCAGCCTCACCCTGTGCCCACCTGACTTTACTTACCTCCAGCTGACGGGGATGTGGGTGTCCCTGCTTCCCCACGGGGGAGGGGGGCGCCAGGTCCCAGGTGTCAGGGCCCCCTGCTGTCTGCCCACTCTGAGAGCAGTGCCTGGCCCACAGTCAGGTTCCATCAACTCATGATTTAAACTTATGAATAAATCAGATTTGCAGATAAATCTGCAACTATTCCATGCAATTTTAAATGAATGAATGAATGAATGAATACAGGAATGAATGTCATTGGACAATTTCTCTGGAAGGCAGAATTAGACAGTATTTTGTTATAATCCTTTCCATATTCTCCGACTTGGTCTAAAACAATGTGTGTGTATTATTTTGATAAAAACAAAAATTAACGGGGAAATCTGATGTTCCCGTGGGAAGCCAAGGCTGGTGACCTGCTGACCCACTCAGGAAAGTTCTTGAGGCTTTCCACACCGTTTGTGTAATATGTTTCCATTACGCTGTTTGTAGAATATCTGTTTCCATTAAGGCTAAAAAAAAAAAAAAAAAAACAAACCAAGCAGTGGTCACTTGGGAGCAGAAGCCTGAAGGACCACTTCCCTGGCTGGGTTTGTGGCATTTCCTGTGTTATCTGCCAGGTCTCTGGTCATTTAAAGAAATTAAATGTCTTCATCTTAGAATTCTTTTCTCAAAAATCAAAGGTTTTCCTTTTCAAAAAAGACATTAGCATTTTAATCACCCCCCTACGTGAGAAACTGCCCCAGCCAGCTTTTCACACTCTGGGGATGAAAGCTCCTGGGGCAGTTGTTAGTGCTTTGAGGGCCCTGAAAAGCTTCCTGCATTTGTAAATGTCCATGAAATTCTTGAAGGGATTGAGAGGTGCCCTGTGCAGAAGTGTCATGAGAAAAGCAAAATTTCTGCGCAAAACCAGGACCATTCAAAGGGCGGTCGAGGTGAAATCAGCAAAGGCCACTAAGCACGGCTTTATTTGTGAGACACAGTTACAACTCCGGAATGAGAATTTGTTACGAGGTGCTTTTACATAAATAATCACCTCATGTTCCTTCCTGTTCAATATTCTGCGTCCCTTTCTTTAGGAAATGCACGGCTTCCAGATTTTAACAAGTCTGTCTAGTGAGAAAGCAAAGTAGCTTCCTCGCCACCGCAAAGCTATTTTGCTTTAAAATATCTTAATAAAAACAGGTGAACTTTGCTGCTGGAGATTTAACGATCATGTAAAGGGGACATCTGTTAAACAAGAGTTACTGGTAAATAGCACTTTTTAACACGTTTAAACCCTTCATAGTATTTTCAAGGGGGAGAACTTACAATTTCAAACTCTTAAGAAAAAGTGTTGTAGTTTTCATACATTTAAAAATTTTCCACAATTTAAGTTCATGTGCATTTCAGAAAATGCACTGAGAAAGGACAGTTACCTTCAAATGAGGGAAGTGTAAACTAACTCTTCCTTGGATGAATACGCACCTTACAGACCAGCCACAAAATCTACCTGCTAGGGGGATTCGGGGCCAAGAATAAATTCAATTAATGACTTAAAACGTGTTTTACATCAATGGGCTGATATAGGCAATTTATGCCATGCAATATTTCTCATTCCCTGACCGTAAAACACAGGATAGGCCTCTCTGGCTGGTACTCAGTCACAGGACTGATTATTTAAAATAATAAAAATTCGGCTCTTAGCTTTCTAGCAATCTCCTGTGTGCCCACTCCTGTAGGGGTGGCCTCCATCCTGTCTTTTTCGGGTCTTCTCCCTCTTGGTCTTCATGGAGATGTGAACTCCATTCCAGGCTGGTCACCTGCCCCGCCCAGGTGATGACATCCTCTGGGGTCATCCACGGACAGGCGGGCATCCAGGAGACAGGTGTCAAACCCACTTCTGGCCCCATCATTCCTTCTCTGCCCCAGAGGCAGGGCCACCTGTCACGTGGCCACCCTGATGGGGAAAGACACATGGGTGAATCGGCTCTATGAAAACTGTACCATGTTTGTGACTTAGTTCCTTTCTATTTCTAGTAAGTCTACAGTAGCCACCCCAGGAGAAACTGGGGTCCTTTCATCATCCCCCATTTCCAAAATCTGTCCCCCCAGATTTGCACCACCATAGGCTGTGACCATGGCAGAGACCCTGGCTAGCACAGCAACTGGCAGAACCCTACCCAGCCACGCCCGCCTCGGTCCTCTGATGGGAAGCCAGGGGAGCCTGAGACCCCTCGCTGGACCCCTCGCTGGACCCGGATTCCAGAGAGGCTCTGTTCTGGCCAACACCCAGTCCCACAGTACGCACTGGGAGTGAGGTGGGCCTGCCTGACTTGTGTGGGGCAACACCTTCTGGTCCCCATTTCCACTTCTGGAAATTTCCATGCCGACCACTGGGAGCATTGTCAGGTCTTCTGCCTGGGGCTCCCACACTTTCAGAGAACTGGAGCTGTATTTCCACGTCCCATCTTCCTGTAGTTGTCTGGTCCACAGGGTCCTGACCAATCACCTTGAGACGACACATTCACCGGCCCTCAGGCACCCATCCATCACTTCCACTTTGCTGACAGGTGTCTGCTCTGGGCACAGCTGTCCTGCAGAGTCCCCCTCCCCCTCAGGAAGTAGGAATTGTCAATCAGGAGGATGAAAACCATAAGACCAACAGCCGAGAAACAGTAGGATGGGGGTCCACCTGACCCCAACCATGGGCTGCGTCCCCTGGGCAGACATCGAATGGCCAAAGCCCTTGGGGCAATTTTTTGCCCATTGGCCAGCTTTGGTCGTGCATCAGAATCTCCTTGCTCTGCTGTCCGTCTCTCCCGGATCTGCAGCTTTTCCCGGGTCACACCACACCTTGTCCCTTCTTTGGTCTTGGTCTCTTTTGCTGACCCCAGACCCCTGCGATTGATTTGCAGATTTGACCCTTCCCTCTCGTTTGTTTGCCCAGGTGTCTTTCCAGACACCTTCTCCACTTTCGGTCCTCATCATTGACACCGCTTGCTGTCGACAGCACCCAGACATATGTTTCTGTCTGTGTCTGTGACTGTCCCTCCCTTCTCAGTCAGCCGCATCAGGGGGACACATTCCTGGCCAGTCTCAGGATGCCCCTGCTGTGCCCATAGGGGAGGCCCTGGTTGAGAAACCTCTGCCCATTCATTCGCATGCTCACTGCCATCCAGCCCCGCACAGTCCCCCCTTCTTCCCGAGGGGTAGCCAACATTGGACCGGGGTGGGGGGGCCTCTGCCTGGTCTCCGTGGCCCTCCGTTGCCTCCCCAAGTTGAAGGGCATCACTGTCCTAAGGATGAGTGAAGTAGCCAAGCTGGGTGGGGGTTGCAGGTTGAGTTCTGGCAAGTTTCCATCACATTCTGAGCACAGATTCTGGGAAAAGATCTCATTTCCCAGACAGACAAGTCTCATTTTCCATAGGACACCACCCCACTTCCCAGTGCCAGGATCCCGCTGATCTGTACCTCGGCCCACATTTGGAATTCCCCTCTGAGAAATGAGCTTTAGTTCAATTTTTTCCAGTGATACAAAATTATCCTTATTTCCACTAAGGTCACATTTCTCTAACCATCCTCTTCAGTGCCAGGGCCAGGCAAAAGGGAAATGTAAAACATGTATGATTTCAAACACATCCAAAAAGTAATTCAAAAATATAGCTGTCAGGGGGAAGTCACGGGTACTTGTATGTTCAGTGCTGTCTTTTAACAAGGGGCTGGGGTCAATCACGGATGGGTTCAGCTAGCAATAAAATCTTTCACATTTTAGTGAATCATTTGAATAATGAAAGTAATATAAAACATATTACAAAAATAGTCATCTCACATTTGTCTAATTATATAATCCCATAATTAATGTATTATTTTTACATGGTTATAATCATTAGAAGAATATTACTTGTATCCTACTTTTTATGTTTTCACATTAGTAGTTTTCTTCTTCATCTATAATAATATAATATTATATATTATATATCTCTCTCTCTAAAAAAAGATATTATACAAGCACATTTTTCCCATTTGGGAAGTTGAGGGGGAAAAAAGCACGAGTCTCATCACTCTGCCATCAATAATTTCTTGATTATTTTATTCAAACTTGTATTCCATGCAATAGAATAGAAAATTAGACTTGTGTGTTATATTGCAATAACTGTTTTCGTTCATCTTCATGTTGAAAAAAAATTCATTTTCCTTTCCTTGATCCTTCCGGACCGCAGACCTGTGGAAGAATAAGGACGAGTCATGGAATCTCCCCCAGGACTATGACCCGGAACTGATCAAACAGGAGAAACGGAAGGAACTGGAGTCGGAGATCAGAGCGCAGGTAACACCGCACTTACATTGCACGAAAACAAGTCATCAGCAGCCGCCATTGGGCTTCTTCACAATTTCCCATCCATGGCCAACCCAGATTTTACGCTATTTTTAAACTTTACAAAGAAAACACAAGGCTCACAGAGTCACTCAAAAGTGGTGTGTTTTGTTCTCGCCTAGGTGGATGAGCTAATGAGACAGGAACTAAAAAACTTGAAACTGGCTGTGGACAGAGAAAAGGAGTATCCGGTCAAAGCAGCAAAGAAGAAAGGAGATAAAAAGGTGAGTAGCAAGTGAGCATGGAAGGGATGAGGCAGATGCAGATTTGAATCACGAGCAGGAGCGCCGCCCAGGCTGAGTCTGGTGTGCTACCTGGAACACTGGCTGGGCCCAGGCTACTGCACAGGGAAATGTCTTCCTTGGGGGGATGTGCCTTGTTCCACCAGGTAGTCCTCAGGGACATGGGCTCATAAATGGGATACACCCAACAGTCTGAGAGTGACCTGCCCCACCCCTCCTCACTGCAGACTCGCATTACCCAAGCCCCACAGATAGGTTGAAGACCATCAGGGAAGCCAGTGATGTGCCTGGAATGTCTGCCCCTCTCTCCCTGTAGGGAGATCTGTAGGGGAGGCCAGTGGCAATGAGCAAGTTCTTTGTGAGTAAGGGATCAGAAGAACTGAATTTTAAATTGCCAGCAATCCATCTCACAGTGTTTGGGAGTAGCCAGTTAGATCCTAATATGCAAAGTTCATTTACTGGGCCCTGTGAGATAATAGAAAATATATATAGGTCTTTGCCTCCAGTTCCTGGCACAGAGCTCCTGAAACCCTTGTAAATCCTTAAGTCATGAGAGTACTTGGAGCATATTTGTTCTAATGAGACAACTCATTGGTTGTGCCTGCGTGAGGAAGCCTCCATGAAATCCCGAGAATGTCAGGAGGGTGAACACAGGCACAAACCAGGAGAGTGACCACCCTGACTCCACGGGGACAGAAGCTCCTGCACTCGGGACCCTCCCAGAACTCGCCCTAAGTACCACTTTGTCTGGCTGTTGGTCTGTACCCTTTATCACATCCTCCATTAAACTGGTGAACATGAAGTGTCTCCCTCAGTTCTGTGAGCCACTGTAACAAAGTAACTGGACTCAGAGAAGGGGTCGTGGGAACCTCAGGTTTTTAACCAGTAGGTCAGAAGCATAGGTGACAACACGGACTTGCGATTGGCATCTGACGTGGTGGGTGGGACGGAGCCCTTGGCCTGTGGGATCTGATGCTATTCCTAAGTAGATAGTATAAGAATGGAGTCAAGTTGTAGGACACCCAGCGTTGCTTCGTGCGGGAAACCCACACACGCACATCTGGTGTCAAAAGTGTTGTGGATGTGGTAGTCACATGGGAGTAAAGGAGACATGCAGGAGGAAAGAACTGGCTTTTTCCTAACCTAGGCCCCTACTTCCACTTTCATTCTACAGCCAGCCCTGCCACTGGGGCCAGAATCCTCCAGGGAGAGGCCAGACTTGCCCTCCTTGGCAGTGTCAGCAGGGGGGCAGCCTTTGCCTCTTTGATGGCTTTCTCAGGGTTCCGTGGCTGATCAACACTTCTTACAATTCATGTACTCTTAGAGCTTTTCATACATCCAGCTCCATGAGTGTCTCGTTCAGCCAGTCCCTTTAGGATGACGCTATCCCGATCCATTTTGTATTGAGTTTACAGTTTCCCAGTTTACTCTGACTTTTCAGTTCGACACCTGAATGTCCTTCATAGCCCTCCTGAGGATACACCCCTGAAGCCTAATGAGGGTCATCTATAGGTTATTCTCTCACTAGTAGGTGAGGGCACTTATTGATGACACAATTGATCCAATTGATGTCTTGCATATCTGCATGAAAAAGTGATGTTTTGATGATTGAACATGGAATTCAAGCCAAACAAAACAGGAAATGAAGGCAGGAAGTGGCTGTACCCCTCTGGCTGAAAATAGGCTTTCTCCTTTTACCCAACAAGTATCATTGTGCAGGCCCAGCATCAGACCGGACTTCCTCACCCTCTCACACTGCTGGCCCCTCTCATTCCTTGCAGCCTGCCATTTCTGTGTCACGACTTATGATATGTCACAGGGAGGGGTTGCTGTGAATTTCCCTCTTGGAATTAAGCTGGTTTATCATGCAATGGGTGTGCTCAGGGTATCCCAATAGATTGATGGTAATTGTGTAACTATGGAGTTTTGAGAGCCCCAAATTCCAAACCAATGACTTAGGCGTAAATTTCGGAGACACACATTGGATGTGGTGTTAATTTCGTGAGCTGAAACTTAATCAACTATACCAAATCCCATCCTCAGGAAGACCCTTAGCAGAAGGGGGATGGTCAACCTCGTACATAGAAAAGGAGAAAAAGGACCCAGAAGAAGAGAGTTAGGAGGTATTGCCTCGTCATCCAGAGAAAGTGACTTGATCAGAGATTATAGAGCAGCCTGAATCTTCCTTTCGAAATACAAATCTGATCTTATGACTCCATACTGAACTTGTTCAATGGCATTTTAATCCTCTAAGATAAAGATGACAATGTTCAGCCAGGCTTACAAGGCCATGTCTGACCTGGCCAGTGCATTTTTCCCCAAGCTGCACTTCAGCACCCTGACCTTCCTCTTTGTCCCCCCAAACCCACTGTGCTCCTTCCCACCACAGGGCCTTTGCACATGCTGTTCTCGCCCAAGAACCATCTTTACTCCCATGCCCCCAGTCCCTAGCCTTCTTAAATCCTACTCATCCCTTAGATCTCAGTCCAAGCCTTTCTTCCTCAGGGAAGCCTTCTGAGCTATCCATAGTAAGTCTGCTTTCTCTGCATACACTTGGCACTGTCTACTAGGTCTTCCTGGTGCTTTATCAGAGCTTTAATGTTATATTTACTAGTGAGATCATTTTGTTGGTATCTTCCTTCCCGAATCTACTCAAGGACTGTAAGTGCAGGAACTGTATGATTGTCTTTTTTGCTTGTTCACCATCGTAACCCTTTCTGGCACAAGGCAAGTCCTCAATACATATTATCAAATAAATTAGTCAAATCTAGATTCCATGCAGATTGATTCCTATAAGCTAAATATGTGCCTCAAGACATCACAGTATAGCATCAGCAGCAATTCACAGCATCCAGCCACCTCCCTTGCTGATTCCATATTCACCAAGCAAACTTCCAATGAGTTATTATAGTTTCATGTTGATTTTTCTATAAGATGGAAGTCTACAGGGTCTGATTCTCTTAGCAATTGTGTGTCTCATTTTAAATTCATCAACTTACATTACCGTCTATCCCACATTCTCTGTTATTTGTAGATCCAAAATTAGGCTTGAGGGACAGACTATCTTTAATAATTTTTTTCATTCAATAAGTATTTATTGAGCACTATATGCCAGGTATATTTCAAGGCATTCAGAGTGCAGAAGAGAACAAAACAGACAAAGCTTCTGTACTGACAAAAGCAAGTTTCCACATCTGCAAGACTGGATTGCTCTGGATGTGCTGTCATCCCCATGATGACATCAATGGGTGAGGTCCTACCTCTCCGAGGCCCTTTGTTTCCTAAGTTCCTCTCCTGCTGTAATCACAGAAATTTTAAGGATAGAGGAGTTCCTGGAGAAGCTAAGAAGCTCCTTGAGGGTAAAATTCTTGCCTGACTCTATTTTTTGCATTTCCCAGACTGCTAGCATATATAAGTAGGAGAGGAAGGAATGCTATATTTAAAAATAAATTGAGAATCTAATGTTAAAAGAAACAAATGAACATTCTACAACTGAAAATTGCAGTAGCAGAAATTAAGAACTCCTTGAACTGGTTTAACAACAGCATGGACATAGCAGAAGACAGGTTGAGCTTAAAGACCAGCCAATAGGAAAACTAAACTGAAGCAGAAGAAAAAGACTATAAAGAACAGAATGGAGAATAAGAGACATTTGAGACATGGTCAATGTTGCACTACACATGTAATTGGAATCCCCAAAAAAGAAGGAGAATGGGAAAGAGGCAATATACGAAAAAGTAATGTCCATGAAGGTTCCCAATCAGATGAAAGACATGAAGCCACAAATTCAGGAGCCTTAGTGAGGTCCAAGGATGAACACAAAGAAAACCACATCTCAACACATCATAGTCAAAATGCTAAAAGTTGAAGATAAAAGGCAAAATCTTACTGGGTTTTTTTTGTTGTTGTTGTTGTTTTTAAGACACATTTCCTTCAAGGAAACAAAAATAAGAGTAAGAATTACTGCTGACTTTCTCAGCAGAAACTATGAAGCCAGAAGGTAATGAATGGCATCTTTAGAGACTGGAAAGAATTAACTGCCAACCTAGAACTCTGGACCCAGTGAAAATATCCTTCAAAAATGGAATGAAATAGAGATGTTCCCAAAGAAAATCTTAGGGAACTTAGCGGCAGCAGATCCACAATATGAAAATACCAAAAGGATATTTTTCAGACTAAAGGAAATTGATCCCAAATAGAAACAAAGAAGTGTAAGAAGGAATGATCAGTTGTTGAAAATATAAAAGACTTTTAGAATATTCTATTTTTTAAGGCAAGAATAGTAACAAAGTCCTATGTATTTATAACATGTAGAAATAAAATATATGACAACAGTAACCAATAAGATAGGCAGGGGTAAACGGACTTGTAAGGTTATTGTGTTGTTCAGGACACCATAAAATGCTGGCCTAAGGTAATTTGTAATAAGTTAGTAATATATTTTGTAATTCTTTAAATGATACTACATTTAATAAGTAATAGTGAACAAAAAGTGAGAAAGTAAAAAGTACTTGATTGATTAGAAAGAATACAGGAAAGGAAAAGAAAAAAGAACAGATTGCACAATTAGAAAACAAATATGAAGATGACAGAATTAAACTTAAATATTGGTAGAGGGATAGAGGCATAGATCAAAAGAACAGAACACACAACCCAGAAGTAGGCCAACACTAATATTCCTGACTGATTTTTGACAAAGGCACAAAATGTAAGGAAGAATAACCTTTACAGTACATGGTGCTGGAACAATTAGATATCCACAGACTGAAAAATGAACCTTTACCTACGTCTCATACATTTTACAAAATTTACAAAAATTAACTCAAACTGGGTGCACTTAAATGGAAAATGTGCAACTATAAAACTGTTATTAAAATATAGGAGAACATCTTTGGGATCTAAGGCTAGGCAGAGTTCTTAGTATAAACACCAAAAGCAGAATTCATAAAAGGAAAATTTGGACTTGATCAAAGTTAGAAACTTCTCCTCCGTGAAAGATTCTATTGAGAGCATGAGAAGACAAACTACAGACTAGGAGAAAATATTTGCAAACCACATATCTGAGTAAGAGCTAGCAACACACAGCATACAAAGAACTCTCAAAACTCAGCAGTTAAAAAACAACCGATTAGAAAATGGGCAAAAGACACAAGGAGGCATTTCACTGGTGTGGCTATACAGAGGGCAAATGAGCACGGGAAAAGATGCCACTAGCCATGAGGGAAATGCACATTAGAATCACAATGAGAAATTACCACACACTCATGAGGGTAGCAACACCAGTTGCTGGAAAGAATGGGAAGAAACTAGATCATTCATATGTTACTGGTAGGAATGTGAAATGGTATTGGCACTCTGAAAAGCAATTAGGCACTTTCTTTGCAAACCAAATATGCAACTACTATACACCCCAACAATTGCACTCATGGGCATTTATCCCAGAGAAACAAAGCCTCACGCACACATGCACACACACACACACACACACACACACACATCTTAATTCATAATAACTCAAAACTGAAAACAGCAATAAAAAAAGAACAACCACTGATACATAAAATGACCTCTCCCCATTTCCTGAGAATTATAACGAGTGAAAAGCAAAAAAATACATACTCTGTGATTTTGTTGATACAACATTCTCAAAAGGACAAAATTACAGACACGGAAGAGACATTCGTGGTTTCTGGGGGTTAAAGATGGGGTACCTGTGGGAGGGAAGTGAGTAGGTCAGGAAAGGGCCACCTGAGGGATCCTGGTGGAGACAGAAATGTTCTGTATCTTGACTGTTCCAGTGTCAATACCAGTGTCTTGGTTGTGACCTTGTAAGATAGTTCTGCAAGATGTTACCATTGCGAGAAACCTGGTAAAAGTTGCTCAGGATCTCTGTATTATTTCTTACAACTGTATGTGAATCTACCATTTTCTCAAATTAAACATTTTAATGTGTAAAAACCTGAAAATCATGAAGTATCACTACGTGCAATCACATCAGTGAATCTTCCAATCATAATAACAGCTGAAGGAAGTCAGACATAGGGAGTTTACAGTGTACCACTCCGTGTGCAACAGCAGGCAGTGTGAATCTACAGTGAGGTCAGAGGAACAGCCACACACAGGCTGGAAAGCAGAATGAGAGACAGATCAGGGGTGATGAGGAGATGTTCTAGATGTTGAACTGGGCAGTGTTTAAGGCAATCCGCCTGGACATGGGTATACTCACTGTGCATAAATTATACTGCAATAAAATTCATAGTGAGTGAGGACATAGACATGGAGGAATGAAAGATGCTGAGACAGTAAGAAAGTGCTTGATAGCCTGCGTGATGGGGACCATGGGTGGCCCGAGGAGGTCTGAGAAAGAACTTAGCGGCAGGAGCTAGGAGCCAGGAAAGGAAGAGCGCCAGGCTGGAAGAACCCCATCCACCATGCTGGTGAACTTTAACTTCATCCTGGGTGCAATGGGGAGGTACCAATGGATGCTTTAAACAGAGTAGTGAAGCGATCAGCAGCACTGTTTTGAAAGATCGTTTTCCAAGCACGTCCCTCCAGCTGTCACAGTAATCAGAATGTAGAGCCCTCTGGGAACCAGATCTGGGGACTGATGCTAACAGGGCATGAGATTGGGTGTCAAAGGCTGGCACAACTTGATGACCCGAGCATACAGCGCTCTCATCCTTTGTAGATGAGAGCCCATAAGAAGAGAGCCAGGATGCTCGGAGCCTGCTGGCAATCGGGCCCCGTGCAGGCTTCACAGGGGTGACCTCACTGTCTACCCACCCAGGGACATGCCCACATAAGCAACCTGCAGTTTCCCAGGCCAAGCCCTCCGTCCAGGAAAATGCGGCAACCGCATATCCGGTGTGCCACAGTGGATTTTCCATCCCATTCTCTGCCACCACGACCAAAAACTGCTGCCCTACCTAAGTTCTATAGCTAATTTGCTCACTTGTGTTTACTAAATTATTGGTTATTTCCATTTTTTCCAGAAAAAGAAAGGGAAGAAAGGCAAAAAAGGGAAAAGAGGGAAGGACAAAGATCTGACAGCAGACAGGTGAGGTGTGCTCTAGCATTGTTGTTCTGCACATTGAGCGCCATCCCCCCCAGCCCCCTGGCCCAGAGCAGAGTATAGGTCACAACCAAAATCCGAGGCCCCAGCCTGGGAAAGGCACCCCTCTCTGCCCACCACACCGTCTCCACCCTGGAAATGCTGGGGCTGCTTTGCAGTCCTGCGTGAAGAGTGGCCTCCTAGCCTGCAAAGATGTACGCCAAAGGATGGACACCAGCATCACCTCTGAGATCATGCAACTTTTTTTAGTTTTAAAATTTGTAGGGTTCTTTTTTTTAAGATTTTATTTATTTATTTGAGAGAAAGAGAGAGTGTAAAAGCACAGGGAGGGGCAGAGGGAGAGAGAGAGAATCCCAAGCAGACTCCGTGCCAAGTGTGGAGCCTGATGCAGGGCTTGATCCCATGACCCCGAGATCATGACCTGAGCCAAAAGCAAGAGTTGGATGCCTAACTGATTGTGCCATCCAGGCACCCCAAAATTTGGGGGGTTCTTAAGAAATTGTTCAAGAAACAGCATCCTGATCCAACTTTTGAGGGAGTACTGACACTCTTGGAGGGCAGAGACTGTTCCCATTTTCTGCCCTGTCCTGGGCCCAGGCCAGTGAGGCACTTCGCAAGTGCTCATTGAAGAGAAGGATGGGGTTTCGCCTCATTGAGGGGTGTTTCCATTGCCTTGAGCTCCACTGGCCAAACTTTGATACTCATGAATCATTTTAAACACTCGTTTTTTAAACTGAAACGGCCCTTCAGTGCTTTAACACTGGAAATAAATAGGTCTTAGGTTTTCAGGTATTTTCAAGAAATGTAGTGGAATTTAAAAAACAAAATGACCAAATTAAAACAGGTGCAGGAAACAAGCTAGTGGTCACCAGCTGGGGGAGGCCTGTGGGACAGGTGAAATAGGGGAAGGAGATCAAGAGGTACAACGTTCTTATAAAATAAGTAAGTCATGGGGATGTAATAGACAGCATAGGGAATATAGTCACTAATATTGTAATAACTGTATTGGGGACTAGACTTATCATGGGGATCAGTTTGTAATGTATAAAAATACTGAATCGCTATGATACACATCTGAAACTAATAGGATATTGTATGTCAATTATTCTTCAATTAAATAAGCAAATAAAAATAAAATAGAATACAATCCCTAGTAAGTGAATGTCAGAAATCATTCTGAAGGTATATCTTTCTTCCCATGGGTTTTGTTAATGGATACCATGTATTGCTCCCCTGTTTGGGAGTATTTCCTAGTCATCCCCTGGCTACCAGGGATACATTCCCAAACTCTGCTTGAGAGCAGATCCATGAGAAAGGAAGCCAGCTTAGAACCATCCAGAAGGAAATAGGAGACGAGAGTGCTCCAGGGTTAGTGCACATGCCTGGAGCCCTGACAGGAAGCCTCTGGAAAGGCAGCCAGAAGGGCGTGTGGGCTTTGGGTCTGTGGAGAAAAGGCTCCTACAGTGTACCCGTAAAGGCAGTTTTCTTCATTTGATTCTCCATCGTTTGGGGACAGGTTCAGGGTCAAGATGCTGTGGCTGACTGCTGCCTAAGAGGGGCTTGGTCAGCATCCTGAGAGTCAGTTGCCCAGTTCCTGGGTCACCAATCCCTCTGAGCACCAACATTGATGCCTCCTGGGGACCCAAGGGGCAGCACAGTCCCTTCCCTAGATGGGGGTCCAGCGCATGCATGCACACAGTGCCACAGGCCACAGGTGTCTTTTAGTAGCTTATAAAACCTACTTTTCTCCTTTGCTCTTAAATTAGTCCCAAAACCAAGAACAGTCTTGCAGGTGAAGAAGATTATGCGAAGTGCCTTATCCAGACACAAACCAGAGCTAAAATCAAATCTACCAATATGACCCAATCACTAAATTAAAATTATCCATTCACATTCTCATGCATGTAAAGATGGGATTACCAAATAAAATGCAGCTTTAACAATACAGATCACACACACACGTGGCTGGTGAACAATACCCATTAGACATTGAATATGTTCTTGCATGTGCCTCTGTACAGATGAACTATTGTAAATGAGCCACAAGCCATTCTCTAGTGAAATGAAGAGAGACCAGGATTATTTTATTCACTTTTATGCCCAAACGTACAGAAACAGCTGATTATCTCATTCCTGGAAGACTTTTTATTTCAATTTTGGAGACCCTAGGTCTCTAGACCAGGGCTAATTCCACCAAGTCGCTGTAAGACAACTTCCTTTTCTCTCATCGAGTTATTATCAACCTGAAACCAGTACTTTTATCATATGAAGGTAGTTTTAAAGTTGAAATATTTTATTCCTTAACAGAAGCTCATTTCACTGGAAAGACCCAAATATAGGTTTGTGTTCCAGGCTTCTTAATGTGTTTTGTTTTGATTGTTTTAGAGAATCTTCTTCAATTTTATGTTAATATTTTATGCATATATTCTATGTTTATATTAAATCGGTATTCTAACTAAAAACCTAGAGTTGGTACTTCCTTGCAGGAAGTAAGGAAGTAAGGAAGTAATTCCCAAATCCCATTACAATTAAAACCTTCTTAATTCGCAGCAGAATTTTAAATGGTATTTTAATTTAAACCCTATTTTAAATATATTTGAAAGGATAAAATTCCACTCAATCAAAGACTGGGGTCATTGAATTAACATTTATCCCAATGGTATTTGGCTTAAATATAACTGATATCCTTGCTCATACTAACCTGGATCATAGAACAAAGAACTGGTTAAATACAGTTATATTTACAATCCTTCATTCTAGAGAAAGACTAGGGTAGAACTAAAACATACGGCCCCTAGAAATGAAAAGGGAATAGATAAAACATCTCAAAGGATTAAACTCAATACTTGAGCTTGACCTATCTAAATTCCTACAAGTCAAGCCCCAGTTAATTTCACTGGGAGTTTCATTCATTAAGTGGGATACTGTCTTGATTTTTTCCTCAATTAGTATAAATTACCAGTGTGCTGGCTGTATGCCCAAGGCCCCCTTAGGGAAGTGGTTTTGACATCTGTAAACACTATGGAAAAGTATAACATCCTTCTAAAAAAATCATCACACTCACCGCGTTAGACATTTTGTCTTTCGTAGTAGAATTAGTTCCCCTATAAGCCTTTGTTCTTTATAGATATTTCTTCTAAACTATTATGCTGTTGGGTTAAAAGGAAACATCAATTTCACAAAGGATTAATGATCTACTACGGGTTGCAGATGCTAACTGAATATATAATTGTGGGCCTATTGCGCTACTATTATTGGGCAATTTCTAATTCCTATCTGTGCCATCACAAGGACTAATGAAAGGGCAGACTGCAGGAGGTATAGCTGGTCTCAGATGCCCACAGATATAATTCTTATTAGTGGGAAATGTCAAACGTACACGTGGATGAGCAAAAGTATTGTTTTTTAAAGTCTAGTATGTCCCCAAATTGTAGAAATGCTTCTAAAAATCAACTTATTTGCATAGATACAAATGTGCTTAGAAATAGATCTGGTGAAAGTTCTCTGCATATGTGGTGATTAACAGAAATGCTGGTTTTATGTGTCTGCTCATGGAATAGCTGGTCTGCTTTATCACCAGGACCATTGAGTCTCTGTATAAGGAACTGGTGGAAGAAGGGTTGCTGATCCAGGCTCTGAAAGTTAACCTCTCTGATTACATCGGTAAGGTACACCGAAATCAACACATATATGTGCCGCATATGTTGCCCCTTGGGTTCTGAGGTCCCAACAGCTGGAAATATGTTTCATTTGCATTTTTGTCCAAACCAAAACCTGGCCCATAGTGGATCATAGTAGACTTTTTTGGACTGAATGGGTTTGCATTCATTCTGCACTGTGAACTCACAGGTCCTGCTCTCTCCCCAAATGTGGTAGAGGCAGGTTTTTGAGCCTACCAGCAAAATTCCTTGGGGCATTCTGTCTGGCATAAGCTAAATTGAGGAAATGAGAACTTGTTCATACCTTTGGGTTTAAACAAAATGCCCCAGGGGAGCAGCACCTGGAACTTGAACAACACACAGTTCTTACGGGAGGAATTCCTTCCAGAAGGGGCCGCCCCAGAAGTAGCTGGAAGGAAGGAGGAGAGACATTTGCTATCACCATCTCTAACAAATGTTTTCTCTTAATTTTTAAAAAACAACGTGATGACCTGAAAACACACGTAAAGCTTAAAATTCTTCATAATCCCAGCACCTTAGTGCAGGTATAATGTTCACTTTCTCACATCTGCCCTGAACCAGGGCATTCTCCCGCATAACCACAAAAGGATAATCACACTGGAACATCTTGGCATTACTGCAATGCCATTACTTAATACCTAGTAGGCAATCAACTCCCTCAATTGTCCTAATAATGTCCTTTATACATTCTGTCTTTCTGAATCCAAAATCCAATCAAGGACCATGGCTGTGGGGTTCATATCTCTTTAGTTGCCTTTCATGCCTTTAATCTAGAATGACTTCCAACCCGATGTCTTTCACACCATTGACATTGTCAGAGTCTGAGCTGTTGCACAAACTGTCCTTCAACAGAAGTAGTGTGATGGTTTCCTCATGACTTGATTCAGGTTAAATGTTTCGGCAGTGGGGGGGAGGTGGGCTGATATTATGTCCTTCTCAGTGTTTCATGTTGGGGACACATGTGTCCCATCACTGGGGATGTTAAGTATCATCACTGTCCAAAGTGCTGTTCCCCAGATTTCTCCACTGTCAAGCTTCACTTTCCTCTTCCTAATTAATGAATAACCTGGGGTGCGGGGCTGGGGGCGGGATTTTTTGAGGCTCTGAAGATTCTGTTCCCAGCTGGCTTAAAGGTTTTTGTCCTCCACTGATGATTTTTGCCTGTTTCGATTACTGCTAGGGTAATTATAAAATGGGGGTGTTCTATTTCTATCAACCCTTCTATATTTAGTAAGTGCCATTTTTCTAGAAAGAAATGTCCTTCCCACCCTTTTTTTAAACTGTTGTGGTATCAGTGTAGAAACATGGAATCTCTCTTTTTTCATTGTATTATATTACACATTGACCTAATTTTGGCCTGTAGTAACAAGAAGGTTAACATTTCCCTCTGATCAAAAAATGATTACTTTAATGCCTTTGAAATAAAGCCACAGTTCTTCTTGAGGGCCTGGGGGGAGCGTTCATATTTCCTAACAGTGTAAGAATTTTATGAGGACATATACTAGAATATATATTGGGTTTCTATTTATTTTATGTGTTTCTTGTTCAACTACCAAAGGGTTTTCTCCTGGATTCCCTTGATTTTGCTCTGTTAATTCTGTTCATATGAAAACATGACATTGTTAACAGAACACCGTCCCTTTCCTTGTGGTTGGGATCTCTGACTTCTCCTTGTCTGTCTTTTCCTTTGACATGGTGTATTTTTGTTCATCACTGAATTTCTAGTGTTGAGGCAGTGCTGGCACAAGGTGGAGTCTCCAAAAACAAATTATGAGCATATTTCTCATCTTCTGTTTGATTTCTTACCCATCGTGGACTTTGCAATGATCTCTCAGTCTCCGGGCAGCATCTTTATGACACATAAGGCCAAAGTGAATGCAGTCAGACCTCAAATGAAAATGACCCAGTCTAATGAATAGACATTTCTCCAAAGAAGACATCCAGATGGCCAACAGACACATGAAAAGATGTTCAACACCACTCATCATTGGGGAAATGCAAATCACAACCATGATGAGATACCACCTCACAGCTGTCAGGTTAAATGAATGGTTAAAATTAACAACACAAGAAACAACAGATATTGATGAGGATGTGGAGAAAAGGAAACCCTTTTGCACTATTGGTGGGAACGCAGCCACTCAGGAAAACACTATGGAGTTTCCTCTAAAAGTTAAAAATAGAACTACCCTGTGACCCAGCAATTGCACTACCAGGCATTTACCCAAAGGCTACAAAAATACAGATTCAAAGGGGTACGTGCACCCTGATGTTTATAGCAGCATTATCAACATTAGCCAAATTATGGAAAGAGCCCAAGTTCCATCGACTGATGAATGGACAAAGAGGTGGTATATATATATACAGTGGAATATTATTCAGCCATCAAAAAGAATGAAATCTTGCCATTTGCAAAGAGGTGGATGGAGCTAGAGAGTATTATGCTAATCAAAATAAGTCAGTCAGAGAAAGACAAATACTGTATGATTTCACTCATATGTGGAATTTAAGAAACAGAACAGATGAACACACGGGGGGGAAGAAAAAAGAGAAGCAAACCACAGAGACTCTTAAAGATATAGAACAAACTCAGGGTTGCTGGAGGGGAGGTGGGTGGGGGAAGGGCTAGATGGGTGATGGGGATTAAGGAGGGCATTTGATGTAATGAGCACTAGGTGTTGTATGTAAGTGAGGAATCACTGAATTCTACTCTAGAAACCAATATTGCACTGCATGTTAACTAACTGGAATTTTAATTAAAAAATTGAAAGAAAAAAAAGAAAAAGAAAATGACCCAGTCTAAAACAAAATCAGTCAAACTGCTATGAGGGCTTTTCCATGTTTTCCTTATTTTTTCCTAGTTAAGATCCTTAGCTTGAAAGATGGCAGTGGATCATCCCAAACCCCCACGTAAAAATAGGCAGAGCAACCAGATAGCAAAAGCAGAAACCTGAGGACATTTACACCAAAACTAAATGGCAAGGTGTCCCCTCAAACCCCAAGTACAAGGAGCTGGAGACACAGAGCAGAAGAACGCCAAAATGACAAGCAGGCATTCACAGGGAGGTCCAACAGACCAAGGCAGCAGCTACAGCCGGAACTGGGAGGGGCTTGGCCACCTCAAAAAGGCACACCACCGTGCTTTTAATTTTTCTGGAAACAACAGAAGCGGGGGCTCTATGACATTTAAAAAGCTATCCCGCACCAAACTTTCTTCTAAAAGTAGAAAAAATACTATCTCACATAAAATAAAGCAATGGAAACCTCCAAGATCAAAGCCCATGCAACGTTTCTATCAAAAAGAAGAATGAGGGGTAAATTAACATCACAAACAGACACATAGATGGAGCCCACTCTCTCAAGCAAGCTAACACATACGTTAGCTTATATGAAAATTACAGAAGAACTGTAAGAATACATAGAATGGAACTAGAAAACCTCAGAAATGAGCAAACAAAACCCAAGGAATATTAGAAATAAAGAGAAAAATCATTTTCGAAAATAAATTATGATGAATCCAAGAATGAATAAATAATGCTTTAAGAGAAATAAAACGTGAAAGACAGAATGTCCCCTCTCTCACCCCTTACCTTCTGAAGGATGCTTGCCCTTTGTGTGATCCTTCTGTGCCTCAGTTTCCACAATTAGGGGAACAATCACAGCTCCTGCCTTGTTAAATCACTGTAAATAGTGAGTTAAGAGATGGGGGCATTCAGAGGGCATGCTTGGCTTGGCGCCAAACTAGTTATTGTCCTGCTGTTGCTGGTGGTGACATTCTTGCCCAGTCTTTGGCAGGCTCGGCGGGCTGCCAATCAGACGGCTTATGACTTCGTGGTGTCTCTATGGGTGTCCCCCCACCAGGCCACATCACAGAAGCAGTGAGTGCAAGGCCACTGCCTGAGGCCAAAATACAGGGAGAGCAAACACAAATTAGTATTCCCCTAAACTATCCGGCCCCACCCATGGTTCAGTCCCTGTGCCTTTGGGGGAACATTGACCCGAGGCCAGAGTTAGTGTTTCTCGTACTCTTCCTTGGTGTTCAGAGCCTGCCCTACAGAGGAGAAAACTCAGCATCTTAGATGGTATGACTTACATATTCACACACATGAAACCCCCCCAGAGCTTCAGAGTCAATGACACCCCAGCACGTCCCGCACAATCTCAGCAAAACTGTCACAACACCGAGTCCACCTGGAGCCATCTCTCTGCTGACCTCGTCCCGGAAGCTGGGCTGCCTGGGTCCAGCACACACAGCTTATGAACAAGTCCGTACTCCTGACCCATGACCGTGTAACACGCGTGCCCGTCCTCGTTGCTGGGAGACGGTTCGTGTGCAGCCCTGGTGGAGTGGGGGTGGCGGGGCGGGGGGGCAAACACCGACCAGCAGCGTCTGCTCTTGGGCCTCTGCCCCTGGTCCCCGAGGAGCGTATTTGGGAAGCTAGGACTTGTTATAAATTGCTCTCTTCTTCATACTCTTTCTGATGCTGTGTGGGGTAGAATGGAACACTAGAGGCTGATCCCACCCTTATTTCTCAAATATCTTTTTTATTTCTCGTTATTTTTTTCCGCTTTGATGTCCCCATTCTCTTCCATTACTTGATTCCTTCTGTACCAGTTTGCTAGGGCTGCTGTAACAGGGGTCACAAACATTCCCTCACAGCCTGGAGGCTAGAAGTCCAAGATCAGGGTGTCAGCAAGGCTGGTTCCTTCTGAGGACTGAGGGAGAAGCTGTTGCTTTGCTATAGCCTCTATGCACCCCCAGCCCCATGTCTCTCTTGCTCCGACTGCCTGGCTGCCCCGATGTCCCTGCGCTCCTCTGACCTCATCATTTCATCCCTCGCCTTGTCCCCTGGAGGTTAGCTGTAGCCTCTGGCGTTCTGCTGCATCTCCACATCCCTGCACCCAGCTTCACACCTGCGTGCTCATGGCCCCTTTTTATAAACGACACTGGTCATATTGCACTGGGACCCACCCTAATCACCTCACCTTCACTAGTTGTATCTGCAATGACCATATTTCCAAATGAGGTCACTTTCTGCGCTATCAGGGACCTGGATTTCAACATAGGAATTGTAAGGAAACACAGTCAGACACACCCGTAACACGTTCCGTTTCTTTTCCGTCCACTGTTGAAGGCTTTCTTGCCCTTGTTCATGCCTTGTACTTAAAATGCCTTTTCAGAAGACCTGGAATCTGTGCAGGGAATCCTGAAGTTTCTAAGTTCTGCCTGAGTGGAAGGGAAGGGTTTATGGTGAAACACAGCCGCACGCTTTCAGGATGAGTCCCAACGCTTGGCAAGCAGCTGGGGCTGGTGGTGTCCTTCACTCCATTAGAACCACCACCCACTAATTCAGCTTAATATAATCTGTTAGGTCCTAGAAAATATGGTGCATCTGGGTATTAATATGGATTTATTTAAGCAGGAAAATTGGGGTCACTTTCAGATCACCTCTAATGTCATGTTTACAGCAATAAGTACTGGATTTAATGGAGGCTACAGGATCTCTTCCTGCTCTAGTGAAGGCGAAATTAACCACTCTCCTATTTATTACCTGCTCATTAAAAAGCTCAGGGATCAGAAGCTGCAATGGAAGTTTTCACTATCACCCATTCTCCCCACCAATACCCATTGTCCTTGCCAAGGACTTTTCTTTTTTTTTTCATGTGGGAGCTTTGAAAGCCTGCCCTCCACAACAAAACAGCCTCAGCATTATCTGGTCTTTAATTCTAATTTTCTTAGCATTTGAAAATGCTTTAAAGCTTTTCTTAATTCACATACATGTAAGCTCATTCTATTGGACATATGTATAGAACATCAAAAGCTCTGCAAGATCCATACTTCTTATAGAAAGAAAAAGCCAGAAAAAAAAATTATCAAGACACTGTGACTCATGCATTGAATATTTTTCCTTCAGATTCAGGTACAAATCAAGAGAGAACTGTATGAGCATATAAAGGTCCCTCCTCATGACAAATGGAGACAGGCAAACTAATTTTCTTGGTGACCTTATCTAAATTAGTTAGAAAATAACACTTCAGATTTATGACGAGTTACAATTAAGACCTTTGATGCCTTCTAATTAAACCTGTAAAGATTTATTTCTGTATTATTCCTTTGGTAATCCTTTGAAAATGATAAAAATGTAAATGAATATTACCTGCAAAAGGAGATGTTTCTATTTATCCTAAATTAGACTCATATCCTTCCTTTCAAATGATTGCATTTTAGGTTCAGATTTACACTGCTCCAATACAAATTCCACATTGATCTTAAATAATTTATTTTTAAAGTTTATGCCAATGTTAAGCATAACTGCTTGGAATATAAATATAAATTAAATAAAGCCTACCATATTTTAGTCTACTTTGTATGTCCTTCATTTTCGAACTTAGTTCTACTTCAAGTATTCAAAGGTTATTTTTAGAAATCCAAGGAGGTTAGCGTCCTACTCAACAGAATGCCCCGTTACTACAGGGGGGTAGCGGCGCTTTCATGACCGGACGGGTTTTCTCAAGCCTTTATCGGAGAGAAGATGTGTTCTCCATGACTCCCTGCAACACCATTCTATTTGCTCAGAAATGTTGACTATGTGTTCTGTGTTAGTTTTGCAGGTGCCAAGATCATGCAGCTCAGACCAACACAGTCTCCCATTTACTTATCCTCTGTTTCTGTTCCTCCAGGAGAGTACAGTTACCTGGGCACCACGCTTCGCCAGGTATCCATAGAACCCATGCCTTCCCTCCTGGATGTCAGACAGCTCATCGCCCTGTACGGGATCTTGCCACTAGGTAAAGTTTCCACACCCTGTTGCACGTTTCCTAGAAGCAGGGGTGCACTGCTTGGTGCCTTTGGCAGCATCTTCCTGGTTGAAATCTTTGTGCTGATCATTTTGAGTGAGGGTAGTTCTAGTGCAACTGTGCATCCCGGAGAGCACAGGAAGGTGCTAGCCGGGGAGCACGTCCACACCATTTCTGAGTGCCTGCTTAACATTCTGGGCTGAAAGTCCTGTCAGCAATCATCTGGAGAGATAATAACCAAAGCAAGCACCTGCAATTAAAATTAATCAAATTAGACAAAGGGCTAATGTTAGGCTTGCCTTTTATACACAGGCTTCTGTTACTGGGTCCTTAACAAAGCCGGCCTTTCATGAATCAGTGAAAGTGTATTTCATGAATCTAAAGGATCAAGGCTCTGCTGGTTTTCACTGACGTCCACTCTAACTGCTAAATAAGATTCCATCATGATTGTTCAGACCAGTGGACCAGAGTTCTGCGATGCAGGTGCAGGAAGGGTGGCTCTCTGATGCTCTCCTTCACACTTATCATTTTAATAACCTTTTTATGTGTATGACCTGAGTCATCTGGGGCAGCCAGGCCTGGCTCTGATGACAATTCTGAAATAGAAATCATGTTTTATTTGTTTAACTGGCTTTAAAATAATATGGGAATAGTTTGGGCACTTATAATATTGTTCTCCTTTGACTTAGACCTATTGGCAAGAAGTGGTTCGTTCCTCTTTTGATTTAATGTCAGAAGTAGTAAAGTGGAATTGGGGGGCAACATAAATTTTATATATACAAAGTTTATATCATAAATAACTACATGATACTTCTGGGGTCAACCAAATAGATATGCAATATTTATGATATGCCCATGCAAAATAAAATAAAATCACAGTGAGATGGAAAAACAGTAGAGCAGAGAGCACCAAGACCCAGCATGTTGTTAACAGAACTCCTAAGACATCATTGAAGGGGGCAGTATGTTTGATCTTGGCTCAAGGATACAAAACAATGGATATTGTTTCCAAGCGGCCTTGAAAACGTCAGAAGAAGGAAGCAACCCACCTGAATCCTCCTCATGTCAATGAGGAACCCGAAGTCCCTACGGGCTGCTGACCTGCCCAGGTCCCAGAGCCAGCAGGGCTTTCTTCTGGGGACTGATGTGTGTGTTTGCAAGGCAAAAACCGGCCAGACAGATGAGAACATTCACAGATCTGCCTTTGGGTGCTTCCTTTAAATTTCATAGGTCTAAAATTGTATCCAGTGGCAACACGGAATGTGTTTGCTGGCCCTGTGTCCAAGTCACCACTGCCAGGACCAGTCAACCCAGCCACTCTGCAGAGGGCCCTGAGGACACGCCGTGAGGCCACTCTGCACCGTGTCCAGGCAACACAAGCACCCGCTGGCCTCCAGAGCCCCAAGAGCCTCAGCCCGGGCTCCCAGGACGAGGTGTGAGCTTTCCAAGCCCCCTGGGCAGATATGAGAGAACCAGGACACATCTGGTCAGCGTTCACCCATTCACCCTCCCAGAAATATGACTGCCCCCCAGAACGTGGAGGGAGAAAAGGGAGGAGGGCGCTCGGCCAGCAACTTTGGCACATCTGCAACCCTCTGCCACCTCCCAGGGACCCCTACAGCTGGCCTCGGTCTCCCTCCCCAGCCCCTTGCTGTCCCCTGTTACATTGCTAGCAAGAATTATCTGCCACTCCCCGGCACCTTCCTGACGTCCCACTGCAGGCCCGCAGTCACTGTGCCCCACCGCCCGGCATCTTCTCAAGGGTCCCTGTCTCTACACGTCCCAGTTCTGCTCCTTCAGGGACAGCTCAGGTTCCACCCTCTCCCGGAAGTCGGGCCTGAGCTCCCCCACTAACCCCCCCCCCCCCCACTTTTCTGAACCCTCTGTGGCTCGCACGGGGTCAGCACAATTTGCTTCCCGTTCTGGTCACGTCCACTCAGGTTCAGCTCCCGTCCTGGCCATAAACTCTGTACAGCAAGTCCTGACTCTTCCCCACCAGCCCCCAGCCAGGGCCATGAACTGAGCAGCCCCCAATACCAGGGGCTGAACAGACCACCTGGTGAATGGCGTCTGTCTCCGATCGTGAGCAACAGAATCTCCTTTATCATATTACGTTACCGTACCCCTCGCTGACCACAGATAAAGCACACCTGTGTCACTGCATTTTAAACAGAACTTGCTCAAAACTGGCTTCCAAGTTTGTTAGGTAACCATAAAAATTGTTCTTGATTATCTGGTAAATTCCCTATATCTTTTCAGTTACACAAGAAAAAAAAGAGAGAAAGGCACAATAATAATCTTATTATGGATATATTCACATCTGATCAAAAAGTGCCCAGCCGCTGCCCCAAGCAAAGCCACATGATAGTAGATGTTTTGATCACAGCACTTTCCAGGATTTCATTTCATAATTACCTCATGCCAACATGCGCTCCGTGTGTGTTCAGGACGACAGAAGATGCTCGAGCCCGAGTCCCGCTCTGGCCCGGAGGAGATGGGCAGTGTGGCCGGCCTCTGAGTGCCTGCGTAGTAACTCAAGGCACTTCATCAACGGGTTCCAACCCGGGGCAGACCGAGGAAGTCCGGCTACTTACACCTGGCTCTTACTTCTCCCCTTTCCCTCCTGAGAACCACTAATGAACATTCCCAGCCCCCTTACGGGCTGCGGCTGCATGTCCACATTCCTTTTCCTAAGCTTTCAAAGAACATAATGCCACACAACAAGCAGAGAAACCCACCCCCCCCCACCCTAGAAAAAATGCCAGAGGTAAGTTATTGCAGGAATGTTCTTTAGAATTATGAGTGTGGGGGAAATTCTAGGGTGAGGTGTAGCAGGGAAAGCCACGTACAGAATAAGCAAGGAGATCCTGGCGGCCCCCACCTCGAGCCCTGACATACAAATCAAAGGTGTCACAGGCCAACTCAGACGGGGGATGTGCCTCCGGTTAGAAATGCTTTGGACGCATTCGTTACTGTTGCAGAAACCGGGGTCACACACTGGAGGAACAGCCTTGAGGGATCCTCGTCTCAGAGCCGCTGAGCTTCTCTGCAGGATTTTAGAGCCTTTGCCTCTGCCTTTTGTAGGTTCTGCAACGGTGCACGAGAAGGCTCCTTTGGTGAAATCCCTGCTGCTGGCAGGGCCATCGGGGGTAGGGAAGAAAATGCTGGTCCACGCCATCTGCACCGAAACGGGAGCCAACCTCTTCAACTTGTCGGCAGCTAACATTGCGGGGAAGTACCCTGGCAAAAATGGCTTGCAAATGATGCTGCATGTGGTCATCAAGGTATTTGTTGCCTTTCTTGGTTCCCAGTACCCCTCCCTCGTTCAAATTACATGTTCAAATCCTGCCGTTAGTTTCCCACGAACACAGACCCTAGCAGATGATTTCCTTAGGCTGATGCACCCATCTCTCTTAAACTCCCCCATCGCATCCTGCTATAAATCACTTCATCCTTGCATCTAGCCGAGCATCCAACAGGTAGAAACAGCTCTTTTCTTTGCATAAACAACCCTTACTGTCCCATCCAGATCAACCTCCTCCCACCGCAGGTATCCTTCCTGAAATGTCCCCACGTGTCACTGAAATCGAAAACCACAATTTCTATCTCCAGCCCACCTTCCTTCAATAAGGCATCAGCCTCTTGCATTTTGGATACTCTTTCACACATGGCGTGAGTTACCAAGGTATGGTTCCTTGGGCACATTTGCGCCTCACACAGGTGATACCAAAAGGCTGCGGGAAGCTAAACTGACCACAGGGGAGTAAATGCTCCGTGATATCTGGGCTGAAGAATAGGAAATCCTAAAAGATCCATACACTACCCAGCCCCAGGACAAGTTCTTCACCTCCCTGCATCTCTATCTTATGCCACCAAAATGAAACAGACCAAATGATACTGTCAGCCCTAAAAGCAATGATTCTCTGATATCATTTAGATATGGGTGATGATGGCTACAGACAGGTGTTTACAGGTAGGTAGGTAGGTAGATGACAGATAGGGACACAATATGCATATAGACACAAAAGGATTAGCAAGTTTTCAAGCATTTTATTACAGAATATTTATATTTAATATTAAAACTTGACAGGATTCAATTTTTATTTCATTGAGTACCTCAAGGTTGTCTTCACGCTGTTCAATTCACTTTTAGTTGCTAGAATGCCAGATAAGCCAGCTTTTACTGCATGAAGATGCCCACCTAGCAAGGAGTCCCCCACACCTGGGGCAAGGTGTCAGTTCTCAGGGGCTCTGAGTCATGGTTATATGTGAGCAGTTGCCCGTAGGAACGGTTTCTTTTCCACATCATGTTGACAGTCAGAGTGAGGACATGACAGCAATGGGATTTTGTTCTCTTGGTCACATGGTCTCCACCACCGTGGTGGGTTGGGACATTTCCCACTCTCCTTTCCTCCACGGCTTGTCCTGCAGGAACCCGTGGAAATAGAAGTTTGAAGAGCTGGGAGGTGGGAGGGGAGGAAGGTGTTTGGGGAGCAAAGACCATTAAGCTGTTTAATAGGGTGCCTCTCCTCCTATGGACCAGCCGTGTCACCTCTTTGTGGTGTTATGTTGAATCTTCTCAGCGGCCCCGTGAAGAGTCCATACTCATCCCATTTACAGATAGAGACACTGGGGCTCTGAGAGATTCAGTAACTTGCCCGAGGCCACCGAGACCACGTGGCTGAGCTGGGGTTCAAACCTAGGTCCTTCTCTTCTTTGCCCTCCTGCACTATTTTTATTAAGGTAAAAATTATATATGGTGAAATGCACAGATCTTAAGGATACATTTTAAGTGCAAGCTTTGAAAAATGTCCACAATTGTGTTGTCGCCATTTTCACGGGTCTTTTGGTCCTCGTATAACTTCTTTAAAATAACTGTTCAAGTCATTTGCCTACTTTTCACTGCATGGTGGGCCTTGTGATTTGCAAGAATTCTTCATATGTTCTGGATACAAGTTCTTTGCCAGACATACATATTGCAAATATTGTCTCCCGTTCTGTGACTTGCTTGTTCATTTTCTAATTTTTTAGTCATTTACTTGTCCTATCACTGCCACAGGGTGTTGAAACCTCCCACCATTATCATGGAATTCTGTATTTCTCCCTTTCGTTCTGTCGGCTTGTGCCTCACAGATGTTGAAGCGCTGTTAGGAGATGTGTCCACATTTCGGATTGGTGTGACCTCCTGTTTGGTTATTTTATCATTATGATATGTCCCTTTTTGTCTCTGGCAATACTCCTTGTCCTGAGGTTTATCTCACCTGATGCTAATAGAACCACATCAGCTTTCTTGACAACTCTTTTATTTTCAATGTCTTTAGAGTTAAAGTGCATTTCTTGTGAGCAGCACGTAGTTGAGTCTTGCTTTCTTATTCACCCTGACAGCATATGTGGAGCCTTTAGTTTACACTAAATGCGGTTATTCATCTGGTTGTGTTAGGTCCACCATTTTGCTGTTGGTTCTCCATTGTCCCATCTCTTCTTTTATTCTTCTGTTTATCCTTTCCTATCTTCTCTTGGGTTAACTCAGTATTTTTTATTACTCTATTTGGATTCTTTTATTGTCTCTTAAGCAGTGCCTCTTTCTTATTTTGCAGTGATTGCTCTACGGATTACAACAGTCATTTTTGACTTAGCACAGTGTATGCAGAGTTCATATTGTAGGATTTTCCATAAAATGTGAGAACAATACAATCCATTTGTTATCCTGTGTCCTTTATGTTTTTATCATACATTTTACATCTAGAAATGTTATAAACGCCACAATTGAGTGGCATTATTTTTACATTATTTGTATTAAATAGTCACGTGTCTTTTAAAGAAATTATGTTGGGGGGATTTAGCATTTTGCACCCTTTCACATATTTATTCTTTTCAGTGATCTCCGTTCCCTTCCACCAATCCAAGTTCCCACCTGGTATCATTTCCCTTTTAGCTGAAGGATTTCTTCGGCATTTTTTTCAGTGCAGGTCTGGTGGCAACAAATATTTTTTAGCTTTCATCTGATTTATTTTTAAATGCCCTTATAGCACCTCCACTTTTGAAGGTCTATTTCGCTGGATATAGAATTCTGGGTTACATTTTCCTTTCAGCGCTTTAAAGATGTACTTCCATCATCTTCTTACCTCCAAATTTCTGATAAAAAGTTATCAGAAAATCGAACTGTTGATCTTGTATATCATATGTTATTATTCTCCGAATGCTCGTAAGTATTTTTCTTTATTTTGGTTGACTATAGCTTGACTATGATGTGCTGGCAGTTTTTGTTTTTTCTCTGGACTTAAACTTGTGGCTCACTGTGATCATTGAACCCATAAATACATGTTTCATACCAAATTTTGGAAATTTTGGCCACTGTTTCCTCAAATATTCTTTCTGCCCCATGCTCTCTCTGCTCTAATCACATGTATATTTGACTGCTTGATATTGTTCCACGAGTCACTCAGGTCTTGTTCTCTCTAGTTAGCACTTCGGATAGTTACTATTAGTCTGTACTCAAGTTTACCTACCTTTTCTTCTACCATTGCCAATCTGCTATTAAGCTTATCGCGTGGATTTTTTTTTTTTTTTGGTATTTCTGACATTTTGTTTTTCAGTTATAGAATTTAACTTTGCTTATTTTTATAGATTTTTATTTCTGTCTTGCAATTCTCCATCTGTCCATTCAATATGACTATCTTTTCCTTTAAGTCAACTTAAGAGTTGCTTTACCGTTCTTGTCTGCAATTCCAACATTGGGTCATCTTGGAGTTGGTTTCTATTTGAATTCCGTCCTTGACCGTGTATCGATTTTCCTGTTTCTTCATATCGTTAATAATTGCTATTTGCATATTAGACATTGTGGGTGATATGTTATTGATACTCTGGGCATGCTGGGCTTTGTTCTGACAGGCAGTTAAATTACTGGCTGATCAGCTTGAGCTTGCAAAGGTTTTGTTTGCCATTTTGTTATTGCGCGTCTATTTTGATTTTGCCCTTAGTCTAAGGTGCCCTTAGTCTAAGTCTCTGAGGCCTAGAACATCATCTTCACTTTAATGAACCTTAAATGGAAAGCCTGAGGTATTTAACAAGCACCTTTAACTTGGCAAAGACTAAGGTGTGTGCTTAGTTCTTCTGATTTTCCAACTGTTGCTCTCCACTGAGCTTCTCAGAATCTTCCAGCGTGCAAGCACATTTCTGAGGCTAGCCAAGGATTTGAACCCGAGTTGGAATTTAAAGCCCAGCAGCCTGGCTTGTGGCCTCATGTGCTTACCCACCAGGCTCTAAGGACTAAGTGCTTCAGAGGAAAAGTAAAAGAAACCTATCCTCTTGCCTCCTCCCCCTACCCCGAAATAAAACCCTAAATACATTCATTCTAAATACCTAATTTTGTTGACATTGTCAAGTAACAGACAGGAGCACATAAATATTAAACTATTGGCATTTCATAAGCATCCATATATACCAGATCCTGTTCTAGCACTTCTCTATGTATTAACTCATTCAACAACAACTGTAGGAGGGAAGCACTGTCATTATCCCCGTTTTACTGATGAGAAAACCCTGGTCAGCATTGCTGCAACGTGAGCCCGCACAGTCTGGGTCCTGAGCCGCCAGGTGTAATCACTGCATTATTCTGCCTCTCACTGAAGTACGGCTAAAGTGAGCCTCTTCTCCCTCCTACCAAATGGCTCACTTGCTCCTGGTATGACCCTAGGACAGAGCCAGTGGCAGGATCCTGATGTGCTCTCTCTCAAGAAGTTATTGTTTCTGCTGCCGAGAGGTTATCTTGATATCAAGTGAGCTATCTTTGCATTTGTTAGAATCATTCCATTCTAACATCACGTAGGCCCCAAAATGCCGAACGTCACATTTTCAAAACGTGGAAGAGTGTGTTTATCTAACGAGGCCACTCCATGTCAGAGAGCCTGACACATACCTCGTTAAGTGTCACCTTTACCATGTATATAACAGATGAATGAAAGACGCAAAGGTCTCAGGAGTGGGCATCGTTCAATTAAAAATCACGATCACTGAGGCCACTGTGTCCTGGCATGATTGATAGAGCAGCTATCTGCCCCGCAAAGAGGTATTTGCTTTTAATTAACCAAAGAAAAGTGGGAAATTATGCCTGGGCCGGAAAATCAAGGGCAGGAAGCCATGGTGCATTCCTGTGTTACGTGAGCCGTGGAGTGGGTTGCGGCAGGCACGCGGCAGAATATGGATCTTCGGCGTTTGCAGGAGAAGGTGAACTATAACAGAAGGGCCTGTTACTCATCACGTCTCCTTGTAAAGAATTCCTATC